CCAGGGAGCTGGTCAGGTTCTACCTCACTTTTCCCTCTTTGTGCTGTGGGCTGGAAACCCACTCATGGCACTAAGCTGGGGCAGTAGTAGAGCTCACCTCATTTGTTTCTCATCTCTTAACGATCACTATCCTTTGTTGCCTGTTGTCTTGTGTCTTGAAAATTATTGTTTCATGTAATTTTGTCTGGTTCATTTTATTTTGTCTTACTGGTTGTTTCTGAGGGAGGGATAAATCTGATTACTATTATTCCATCTTGGCTGCTCAATGCATATTTTTAAGGGAAAAATAATTTTATAGAGTAGTAGAGCTAGAAACAAAATTAAAATGGGTTAATGAGGGTAATGAGAAAATGGGAGTGTAGACTCTTTTCTAGAGAAGTTTGAGAAGTACAGGGTGGGAGAGAGCTCTGCTTTGAGTGCAGAGCGAAGAAGAGGAAATCTTTTTCATGTGTTTTGAGAGCGGGCAAGTTTTCAGCATATGTAAGTGGAGGAGAAGGGGCCAGTGGAGAGGAGATAACCTGAGGAGAGGCCTAGAAGAGGCAGGAGAGAATGGAATCATAAACAGCTGTGAGAATTAGCCTTGGAAGGGAGAAGAGGAACCAGGAGATTAACACTTACTCTTTTTCTTAGGTGTCACATAGCAAATACTTCACATAATTTAAACTTGTCAATAATTTCACAGGATAAGTATTATTAACTTTTATTACAGGTGAGGAATCAGGGTAGAAAGTTAGGTAACTTAACCTTAGCCATCAGTGGCTAACCTGACCCTACAGCTCGTGCTTTTTCTAATGCACTTTGTGGTCTCTGGGCTGTTTCTTCAGGGCAGGGAGAATAAAAGCTGGCGAAGGTTTAGGCTATAATTGGAATAAAGGGATAGAAGAGCCATGTAACTTATTTATGTAAGTTTACTATAAAATTCATGCCTACTCTTCTGGAGGAAAATTTGGGGAAGAGAAGCAGATCACTGTGTTATGGTGCAGAAGCATTGTATAGAGGAGTAGTGGGAGCAATGCTGCTAATTCTAGCCCTGCCTTGTTCTGTACATTTTGCTTCAGAACTAATACAAACCTGTACTCTTGCTTTTTTACATCTTTGTATGCAAAGAGCAAACACAGTAACTAGGTGAACAGAAGACTTAACTGATCATTTTTAGAAGATAAATGGTCTAAGAAGTGACCTTTGTGAGTTAACGTTCTTTGGCCCTTCCCCTCCTTTAAAAAAAATACTGTACTTTGCTTATGTAAGTATTAGATTGAATCATATTCAGTTGGTGTCAAAAGAGTTGAATATTGACAGTTTCATGTGGTTCAACCTAACTGTGTATTTTGAAAGGACAAGAAGCAGTAATTGTGACCATTGTTAGCATGATTAGGACACGGATCATGTCTGTTTTATTTACCAGTATTTGCCCAATGCCAAGCACCATGTCTGGCACATAGTAGACATTCAATAAATAATTTGTGAATGAAAAACTATAGGTTTTTGAGGTTCCATGCATGTTTTATAAGAAATATAGGTAAAGATTAAGGGAGATTCCCTTCTTGTTAGGCCCTAAGTTCTTTTTCATAGAATAAGAGAGAAGGCTTTTTCAGCAAACTGTTTTATTTCTAATGTAAGATAATGTTAATAAAATACTTTACTACAGTGGCTTCTTAGCCCTCTGTTAAAGAGGTTCCTCTTCTTCAGTCATATCAAAGATCGAGCTGGATTGGAGACTCCCTGCTGTCCAGCCCTCCCTTAGTCTTTACAAAAGAGCCCCATCAGTGGTTAAGCTCTGTCACATTCTGGACATTGCTTTTCTCCTTTCATTTTTCTCTGCCTGCCCTTTTATACTCAAGTTGATTGACAGGGTAAATGCAATAACTTTTCCTTTCTCTTTTGGGGCCAGAGAGGTGGCCTTTTTCTGAGCACTGTCAGCTTTTGCAAAATAGCAAGTATGTAATGTGCCCTTCATTTGTGTCCTAATAACCTACATAAATTAATCTTGTCAGAATGCAGCAACCTAAGACTTAAGACTATTTCATGGTTTCCTAATAATGGTTTTCCAGAATCAATACAGTTACAGACAAGGTGTTGTACCAAGGCAAAGGGCTAAGAAGTCTCTGGCTTGTTCAGGTTTGGTCAGGGGTCTTTGGTACAAATATGAAGAAAATGTATTTGTTGTATCATTGCCTAATATTACTGCTTTGGAACATTCTGTTACCACGTACACTTCCTGCAGCGTCGAGTTGAATCTACACAGTGGTGCTAGAAAAACAAGAATTAATGATTGTTTCCCTTCTAATCAGTGAATATGTATTTTTAACTTCCTTATAAAATAAACACTTCCTTGAGTCATGTAATAATTTCCTCAGCCTCTATCAAATCCATCACAAAGTTATAATGATTTAACCTCTGATAGGTCTCCAAATTTCAACCATCCTTTACCTGGATGACTGCAGTAGCTTCCTGGTGGATCTTCCTGGGCTTACTTTGCTTTGCTCTGGTCTGTTTTCCATAGGTAGTTATAAGTAGCCTTTTTAAAATTTTTTTATTTTTGGCTGCGTTGGGTCTTCGTTGCTGCGCGTGGGCTTTCTCTAGTTGCGGCAAGCGGGGACTACTCTTCATTGCGGCGCATGGGCTTCTAATTGCAGTGGCTTCTCTTGTTGCAGAAGCATGGGCTCTAGGCACGCGGGCTTCAGTAGTTGTGGCATGCAGGCTCAGTAGTTGTGGCTCGCGGGCTGTAGAGCACAGGCTCAGTAGTTGTGGCACGTGGGCTTAGTTGCTCCGCGGCATGTGGGATCTTCCTGGACCAGGGCTCGAACCCGTGTCCCCTGCACTGGCAGGTGGATTCTTAACCACTGCGCCACCAGGGAAGTCCCTATAAGCAACCTTTTATACATTCGAATCTGGACTTTACTCTCCCGCTTAAAAGTTCTTAAATGAGCTCTTATTACATTGAGTTTATCAACAATGATAAATAAAGGCAAGGCCTTTTGTGATCCAGCTTCTGCCTAGTTCTCTAGCTTTATTCATCTGTTGCCTTTCCTTGTGCAGTTCTCCATGTTGCTCTGTATTTCAGCCAGTCTGGCTGACTTTTAGTTTTTTGAACACAAGTGTTTCCTTTTACTTTCGCCTGCTCTCATTTTGTCTGTGATAAGTAGTGTGTGTGTGTGTGTGTGTGTGTGTGTGTGTGTGTGTGTGTGTGTG